TTTGAAGACAACTAAACAGACTAAAGAATATCTGCATTATGTCACAGATTTCCTTTTAATTTTCCCTCAACCGCCTCCCCCTGCAAAGAGAGAGAATTGCTAGAGGACCTAAAGTTTTATGTAACCCACCAAACAATGCCCACTGAAAATATTTTCCAATCTGGTGGGAGTCAAGCACATTTGCTCAGGCCCTTACCAGAATAACACAAACTACAGGATTAGAACATTACTGATATGTAGGGTCAGATAATTCTTTGTTGTGTGTGGGGGGTAGGATGGAGTAGGACATGTCCTGTGCATCCTAGGATATTTAGCAACAGCACCGCACCCTCAGTTGTGACAATGAAAAATGTCTTCGGACACTGCCAAACGTTCCTTAGAGGGCAAAACTGCCCTTATTTTAGTACCATTGGTTTAGATGTTAGGGTCCTGGGTCTTTGAAAAAGGAGGTCTCCAACCAGCCCTGTATAATTTTTAAAAATTAATTTTGTTTTTAAAATTTGGATTTTTAAAAATAAGATGGTAATAGTACAAGAAGATAGCTAAATAATATATATGCCATCCTCCTTTAGGTTAAAGCATTTTAGAGGATTTTGTAACATGAATCGCATCTACTGTCACCTCTTCCCCTCCATCCCAAAGTTGGGGAATGTCCAGTTCTCTCCCTACTCTGCTAGTAAAATGTCAAATACTTACATACATATATACATACATACTTATATATACATAGGATCTAAACAGTTCTAACTTGCAAATCCCCATCTCTTGCCTTACATTGTCTCATTGTGGTTCTTGAGCCATGCATTCTAGAGATTCAACCTTCCACTCTTCAGATTTCCTCATCTGGTTTCTGCCATTTATTTGCGAAGCAAGCAGGAAGTAAGCTGATGACCTTTAAGATCTTTTCCAGCCCTAATATCCAATGGCAAAAATACTCCTTCAACTTTTACTTACTGACTTCCAGCTGACTAAACCACCTCCTGAGATCACTTAAGTCATTAATCCTAACTTTTTTCTTTCTCCACTCTTTATAGCAATCCATGAGGAATACAACCAAACAATATATCAACTGTTTAAAACATCACTTATTAATACCAGTGATCAGTTGATTATTTCCTGTCCAGAACTATTTTAAACATGGAAATTAATCTTAAAAGAAAAATTTTTCAGGGAGCTGATACTATTTATGAGTGAACCACAATTCACTCATTGAGATAGAAAGTATATTAGTGGTTGCCTAGGTCTGGGGCTGGGGTGGGGAGTAAGGGGAGTTTCTTTTTGGGGTGATGAAAATATTCTAAAATTAGATTATGGTGATGGTTACACAATTATGTAAATATACTAAATATGGATGAATTTAACACTTTAAATAAGTGTACTTTTACTCAATAAAGTATGTAAAAAGCTAAAAGCAGGAAAAGAATTTTAATCAACTTTTACTGATAGGAAAGGAATGTGATTAAGAGCAAATTCTGCAGTTTGCCATTTCAAGAGTTATGTAAGATTTGATTTTAATTCTGACATAAAAACTTAATACCTATTCAGAAATAAACCTTAACTTTTCCAGAAAACAAACATATGCAAATTTAATCATCTTTTCTTAGTAAACTTTGGATAATTTAAAAGCAACGGAAAACACTTCAGAAAGCCCAGTGTTAGAGTAACAATACCTCTCCAAGACCAAAATATATTAATATCATCAACAACAAGAAAATGTGAACAGCCTTTATAGTTTGGCATGCATTCTTTATAAAGAAAACCATAAAACATTTATTTCTTTTAAAAGTGACCCTCAGATTGTAATGTCTGTCCTGATAGTGCAATAATTCTGAAATTAACAAGCATAATTTTAAAACAGCCAAATCACAATAAAATCTCAAACATCTAATCCCTCAAACCACAACTATCAGTCGCCCAAAATTTGCACGCATTGATCATTTTTACCAAAACCTATCATTAGCAATGATGACCACTATGAACAATCAAGTAATACCTATTTCTAGGAAATCAGACTCTGACTGCAATACAAATACAGTCAAACAAACAAATCCCATCATTCCATCTGTTCTATCATAACTGCTTAGAAGTCATTAAGGCTCTGAAGGTACTTTTCCAACTAGAACACTTCATCAGATATAAAAGTCAACCTGACTGTCCATCAAAATCTGCAGTTTAAGTTACCACAATAACACATATCTCAGTATACTATCATGAAATCACTTGCCTTGTAAGCGTTTACTCTTAAGATTGCCCTGGGGTTTGACAAATCAGATATAGAACCAATTAAAAGCAAAACACAAAAACATTCCAATTTAATTCTTCGAAAGTAAGGAGAGCCCCAATAAAGACCAAAATAAAGCTGGTGAAAGGGGAACTTTAAAAAAAATTGCAACCCGGGTCAACCAAAATTCTAAAAATACCATCCCGAACTCAGTACACGGACAGACCAAGTGTTAATTATAATGGGCAGGCAAAAGTTCCCTTGTCAACGACAGGAGGGCAGGGAAGGCCTGCCTTTGTACCAATGCAGAGATGGAAAGACACATAACTGAAGAAAAATTAATTATTGAACAAATGCTTGCGAGCTAAATTGCCAAACTGCAAAACACCGAGTTATTTTCTGGGTTGGCTTTCGGCAGGGGGAAAAAATGACTTTTTTAATTTAAATTATTCCAGTAGGATCAAAAAGGGGTAAGGGCCCGGCTAGAAAAAGAAAGGGAAAGTTTGGGGGCAGCGTCTAAGGCGCGTGGTGGCGGTTCCACAGCCCGGATCCCCGAGGGGAGACAGGGGCGAGAACGGCGTAGCGGCCGCGGGCTGGAAGCGAGGAGCACAGCTGCCGGCCCCGATCCCGGAGGGAGAGTAAGAAGGAAGAGGAGGTGGTGGTGGCCGGGAGGAATGGAAGCTTCGGCGCTGGTCAGTTGTGACCGAAACTCTGCCGGCTCCGGCAGGGGAGGAGACAGAGGGGGTGGGGTCTCGGTCCTCCCTCTACAGGAGGTCGGGGTGAGGGTGGGCCGCGAAGCGCTGGGGGCCGCGTGCGGCCGGCCCGACACCTACCTGCGGGTCCCGGGCAGCAGCCCCAGAGCGAGGCCTAGTGCATCGCCGCCGCCTCCAATCCTCCACGTCGCGCCGAGGCTGCTGCTCCGCGGCCGCCGCCGCCCGGAGCCCGGCTGGGCCCGAGCCCGGCTTCCCGCCCCCGCCCCGCGCCGGCTGGCTAGTCGGCTGGCGGAGCACAGGGCCGCCCTCTCGAGCCCAGCTCCGCTCGGGGGTGAGAGGCGGCAGCGGCAGCTCCCTCACGTCTCTCCCGGGTGTCCTGTCAGCCAGCAGTTTCCCCCGGGTCCGCAGCGCCGCCTCCGCCGCTCCTGCCACCGCCTCTCCCACATCCCCGGCCTCCAGAGGAGCCGCCGCCGCCGCCGCCGCCGCGCCGCGACCACTACTCTAGCGCTTCTGCTCCCTGCTCCACTGGTTCCCCTCACTCCGCCCGCCTGCCTCGGCCCGGCTAGGTCCGGGGAGACAGTGTCCGAGGCCGCAGTGAGGCCGCCGCAGCCCCCAGCCCACAATCCACCGCGCGGCTCCGCCGGGGCGGGAGGCCGCGGCCCGGACCGGGGGTAGCTCTCGCCGCCTCAGGAGAAGGCCGGGGCCGGCGCTGGCGCCGCCGGCGTTCCCCCGGAGCGGGGAATACCCCGCGCGGCTGCTCGGCGCCTCCTCTAATCTATTCTAATAGTCCTCCAGGCAAAGAGAGAAACCCACGCTGAACTCGACTTTTCCCCACGACCCTTCCCCCACCCCGATGTGCTCTCGGCGGCAGCCAGGTGCCGTCTGCCGCCTTCTGAGGGACGGTCCGCGAACCCTCAGGGTGGCCTTCGCCCACCCCCCAGACCAACTGACTCCAAGCATCTCTCAACCACCCAGCGCCTATTAAGAAGATACTTCCACAACATTCCACCTCTCCTTTCACCCCCTTCAAAGTGAAGGCTGCTCAGAATTTCCCAGTTAAGCGTCCTTTTAAAGGTTTAAGGTGACCCCTCCCCAACAATACACTGGACTCTGGAAACTGCATTGTCTCTCTCTCGAGGCCTTCCCTCACCAAGTTCTTCTAAGTTTTCCCCTAGTTCCAGGCCTTCCTTCCAGGCACCTATCAAACTTCTCTGGCACTGAAATCAGTTATTCCTGCTATTTGACTGAGATGCTTGAAGTGTGTGTATATTATTAATACCTCCTCCCTGTGATTCTCAACGGTAATCCAATTTAGCCGGGTTTCAGAGGGCTGGGGATCTTAATCCAATAAAATACAATCCACAAGAAAGGGGATGTCTTAGGATATTTTTTAAAAGAGAGGAAAGGGCCATTTGAGTGCTTACGTCTTAATTTTAGGAAGATTTCTTTCAATTTTGAAATTATTTCTTTGCCTAAAAATATCAAAGTTTCAGGCATTTATAAGACACTTAAATCAAAAGTGAAAATATAAATCTTACCTTTGGGGATTGAAAAAAAATGATTCAAATTTCACTTCTAAGAAGTCACTTTGAAAACTGCAAACATAACTCTTTGTGAAATAATAATTTACACACTAAGGAGCTAAAGTTGGGGGGAAGGGAAGGACAAAAGAGAAGGAAGCAACAAAAATAGCTGAGAGGAAATTCTTACAGTATGTTTTTCAAATTCAATCCTCTACAGTTTTGTAATAAGGAGAATGAGAATATCAGTCTCCAATATGAACTAAATTTAACTTTAAAATAAGAAATCCTCCTAAATCCCCAATCTCATATAAAACCAGATGAGTTTACATTATGAACATATCAAGGAAAGACTCACCAAATTTCATCAAAGGCCAGAAAGGAGAATAATTCACTTTAAATCTGGAATCAGTTCACAGATTATACTAAGAAATATAGCAGGTTCCTATATTTTGGAACATCAGGAAATCAACAATAGTTCAAAAGCTGCCTTAAACCTGGCAGTCTGGCCTTTTAAAAAATATTTGCGTTTATATTATACCCCACCTTGTTTCAAAAAGATTCCAAGTTGCTGTAGTTGGCACTTGGGTTAGACAATAGCCACGAAGTATCTCCCAGACACTAGAAGAAGACAGACTGGTTTGCTTTCCTCATCCACCTGTAGATAACATACCATAGGAAGAAAATACACACTGAGTATTGCACTTAGTTCTTTCAGGGATCCAGCATGATTTTATTTTTACTTTTCCACAGAACAGTTCATAATCATGAATCTAAATGTAAAAGTAAATGGTAATGATCAGGTTTGCCAAAAATAAAACAAAACAAAAAACTGTTAACTGGACAAGTAATTTAGAAGTAGATAAATTTCAAATTAATTAATATGTTCACTTGTTATCCCTTGAATCATTTCAGTATTAAAAAGAAAAGCCAATGGTGGTGTGATGAATTGGGCGATTGGGATTGACATGTATACACTGATGTGTATAAAATTGATAACTAATAAGAACCTGCTGTATAAAAAATAAAGTTAAAAAAAATGATGGAATACTGAAAACTTGTATATTACTCCCAACAATTACTGAGTGTATTATTATCACGTGAAATATTATAACATTTCTAGTGTTAGAAGATGTTTGCATCTTCTAAATCAGCTGCTTGATTACTTTGGAAACAATTATTTAACTCTGTTAGATTGCCCTGTTACATTTCTCTTTGACACTGATGTTCCACATTTTCATTTGATTACCATAATAGCAACTACCATTTACTAATAATTTACTGTGCTCCAAGATAGGGAAAACCAAGGTAGCATGGTGTATTAGTTTTCTATTGCTATGTACAAATTATCAAAACTTAGTAGTTTAAAATAACACATATTTATGATGTTATAATTTTGTGAGTCAGGAGTCTTGGCACAGTTTAGCTTGGTCTTCTGCTCAGGATCTCATAAGGCTGCAATCAATACATCAGTTATGCTGTGTTCTCATTTGGAGGCTTGACTGGGGAAGAATTTGCTTCCAGAGTCATTCATGTTGTTAGCAGAATTCCCTTTCTTGTGATTGTAGGACTGAGAACCCTAGCTTCTTGCTGTCTGGGGGCTGCCCTCAGCTCCTAGAGGCCTCCTGCAGTTCCTTGCCATATAGGTTTTCTCACTATGGCTGCTTATTTCATCAAACCAGCAAGGCGTGTCTCTAAACTCTCTAAAGTGAGTCATCTAGCAATACAGAATGATATTCTATCTTCACCATGTTCTATGGTTTAGAAGCAAGTCACAAATTTTACTCACACTTAAGAAGAAGGAATTACACAAAGTTTTGAATACCAGGAAGTGGGAATCATGGGGGCTACCCTAGAGTCTGTCTACCACCTGCAATGATTAATTCCACAGGCTTTGGAATTCAGCTAATTTTGGGTTTTTCAACCTGCTTTGACACTAACTCTGTGATTTTGATCCCAATTTCTAATCCTTTGTTTCTTCATCTGTCAAATAGGAGTAATATCCCCTTCACAGTTTATTTTTCTCCAATGTAAAGTGCGGGTAATGATAAATTTGTTGTAAGGATTAAATGAGCATTTTAGCACAGTAACTGATAACATGGGAGGCTCAATAAACACTTGTTAGTTTTCTTCCTTTTCCCTCCTCTCTTTTTTTTGTTTTGTTTTGTTTTGTTTTGTTTGCAGTACGCAAGCCTCTCACTGTTGTGGCCTCTCCCGTTGCGGAGCACAGGCTCCGGACGCACAGTCTCAGCGGCCGTGGCTCACGGGCCCAGCCGCTCCGAGGCATGTGGGATCTTCCCGGACCGGGGCACGAACCCGTGTCCCCTGCATCGGCAGGCGGACTCTCAACCACTGCGCCACCAGGGAAGCCCCCTCCTCTCTTTTTTATTTTGATCTTGGTCTCCTAGAAGTCCCCACTGTCATTTCTACTTTCAATGGCTACTTTGGTAGCCTGTGTGCAGAGTACGCATATGTGTGTACCTGTGTTTAGGGCCATGCAAACCCAACTCTACTATCAATACCTTTAAAAATAGGACTGTATTGCAAATGTTATCTCTAACTTCAACTAGGAAAATTAAAAACTGATAAACCCATAACATTAGAAGGATAATTATTAAACATAGAGGCTTTGAGAGTTTAGAGAAGTTTGTTGGGATTGACATTTTTTCCTCCCTCAGAATCATGTTTAATATGCATATGGTACAAAAGACATGTTATTGCATAGTAGTCTTCATGGACTCTGGGTTTGCATCCTAGACCTGCCACTTTCTAGCTGAGTAACCTCAGGCATGTTCAGCTCTCTAAAGCTCAGTTCCTTGTAGGAATAATGATAGCACCCACTTCACAGACCTTCTATAAGGATTACATTTAAAGTATACTTAAATAGCATCACTTACTGCCTAGCTCATAGTCAGTACTTTAAAATGTTAGATATCATACTCATTATTATAATCTTTACTATCTCATTATTATTAGGAAAGCTGTGTTAATGAAAAGTACAGAACAGGAAGCAGCAAGACATGGCTATGAATGAGGTGGGTGAAGTGAGGCATGAGAAGTCACAAAATCTCAAAAGTTCTCGTAAACCAAAAGGTTGCAAGTAAGATAAATGGTCAGAAGTATGAAAATTTGCAAGTCAGAAGTTGGACAAGTAGGAACTAGGGGCCAAGGTAAAATTGTGAATTCTCAACCAAACTGTGAGTAATGCAACCTAAGACATCAGCAAGAGAAGGTCACATAAAACAGGTAATTCCTACCTCAGACATGAAGTCTTTTATATAGTTCCTCCTGGAGCAGGAGTCAACCATATAGCATATCTAGTTGCATTTGGAACAGGAAACACTGAGTCCTGTTACTATTGGAAAATAGTGAATAAATTGTTGAATAGATTAGGAGAGTATAGCAATCAGAAATATGGGCATATCCTGACAAATGTAAAATTATTTTCAAATTGGACCATTTCCCTAGAGAAGTAGTTATACCATTTAATCGGTCCGATTATCATGTTTTTTCTTATGTCGCTTTTTACAGTATTGGTTCCTTTATCTATGGAGGCTTTGTCTAACAAACTAAGTTATAAGTATTTCCAGGACAGGATTTTCTGTTGTTGCTGCTATTGTACTTTTTAAAATGTCCTACAGAATCTGGAACAATGTACTACATAGTAGACTTTCAATAAATGCTTGTTGAATTAAAAAATAAATATGAATTACTCCCACTTAGTAAATGGTATTTGGTATAATGAATAGTAATAATTCATGAAATTAATGGATGACCTTGAAATCATACTTGACTCTTTCATATTCCACATCTACCATGTCAGAAAATCCTATTAGTTCTAGATATACCTTCAAAGTATATCTTGACTAAACACTTCTCACCACTCACATTGCATCCACCCTGGTCCAAGCCATCTTGCCTACAGAGCTGCTAACTACAGCTGCTGGGCTATACACTGCTCATTATGGGAAGCACCATTCTCAGACACTGCAGGGTGAATGATGCTTCTTGGAGTTGTATAGTGCAATGATCCTACTTGCCTGGATTACTGCAAAAGTCTCCTAGCCTTTGTCCCCCACCAGCTTATTCTCAACCCAATAATCAGCTTGATCTTGATGAAACTTAAGTCAGGTCATGTCATGTCATTCCTCTGCTTAGAACACTCCAGTGGCTCTATCTCATTCACAGTAGAAGATAAAGTCCTGGCAAGGCCCTAGTTGATCTCATCCCACTCTTACCTCTCTATCTTTATCTCTTCCTAGTCCCCCCATTTCTCACTGCTGTAGTCATATTGGGCTCCTCACTGTTCCTAAATCCAGGCATGCTCCTGCCTCAGAGTATTTGCACTTGCTCTTCCCTCTGCCTGGAATGCTTTTCCCCCACATATCCTAATGGCTAACTCCTTCACCTTCTTCAGGTCTTTATTCAGATCTTACCTTCTCAGTGAGACATTCCATGACACCCATATTTCTCATTGTAACACCATGTCCTATGTGTTTTTCCACTTTATTTTTCTCCTTAGACTTTATTATCACCTAAGCCCCCATATGTTTTACTTATTATCTGTCTTTCCCCCACAGGAATGTAAGCTTCATGAGGACAGAGAGTTTTGTCTGTTTTGTTTACCACTTTACCCAGCCAGTACCTGGAACAATGCCTGGTGTGAGCTGAGAGCTCCGTAAATACTTGTTGAATAATGAATGAAAGATAAAGACAAACTAGTGCTTATAAACATAAACCACTTTCTTCCACACATTAAGCAGAATGAGTAACCAATTAGTCTAATGTTTTTTCAAGACTTGCCACTGATATGTTATAGGGCTCAAGATTTTTGTTAAGTCACTATTAATTTATTAGATAATGATAGTCTTGGCTTATTTTACAATTGGAGTATTTTAAGTAATAACTATATGGAATTATTTTTTAAGTACGCTATTCTATAATGAAAAGACAATGGTTAAACATCTATTAGAAAAAAAATTTAATTTAAAACTTCTCTAGGTTAAGGAGAAATTTCATTTAAACTTTTCTAGGAAAATTATGGGCAATTTAGAAACCATATATTTTCAGAGAAACAGAAGCCATGGGTGGCCTCTCAGGGATTTTCCTCAAGAACCACCCTCTACATCAACTGGGTACGTGACTCAACACCAACCATCACACAGAAAGAACCCCCTAAGCAGCAGGAATACAAATTCTTATACCGCTATGTAATATTTTTAAATAGAGAAAAAAATAAAACAGGAAATATTTTAGAAGCAAAATAAACAGAGATAAAAACAACAAACAGTGGTATCATGAAAACAGGACAATTTCACAACATAATCCAGAGTAAAAGATTAGTATAACAATGGATTGCAATTATATAATGGACTTTTGTTGGATACCAAAATGCATCAGAAAGGCCATTTAATTCTCATGCCACTGTCTGGTCATTTTGATTCCGATTCTACCAGGAAGTAAAATATCTGTGTTTTCTTGCCCTATTCTCTTTACTTCTGTGAATTCCTGAGCATTAATAAAAACAAGTTCTCAGTCAGAATTTGATTTCAATCTAGAAGTCTTATTTCTGAAAATCTAGCCTTGATTTAAAACAGTATTTTCCCCTTCCATACTATTATTTATTAACTTTTAAGGATCTATATAAATAAAAATAAT